ACACACACACACACACACACACACACACACACACACACACACACACATTTATATATATATTGTATATATATGTATATGACGGTATGTATTGTAAGGAGTGCCGAGATTCACTGTATCAAAATGTTATCATGCAATCTATGTCCTATTTGCACAATGTGAAAGACATTTAACGCAACTGTGCAAAAATTATACTTTTTAATGAATGTGTGAAAATTATATTTTAGTGACTGTGAAAAATAGTACATTTTAATATGAATCAAAAGGAGCGTGATTTGGTGGCACAAGCCGCTCGATTGAATACTTGAGAAGAATACGTCGCGTAGGAACAGCGTTGCGATAATTTCATCAAATCGCTGGAAGAACAGAGTCGTGTTAAACTCCCGCGATTATCGATTGATATTACACAATCGTTGATCGCTCGTGTCGCGCGGCTTGAAAGTTTGAAGGATTCGATGTATAAACGTTTTTGTGCAAGTAGGTGCTGCGTATAACGCGGGACTCCGATGGCGTGAAATCAATACAGTATTCGAAAGCCATATACTAACCGGTGCCGTGATAACTCTGGACACATCGAGTTTCGCCAATTCCTCGAAGCTGCGAGAGAAATAGTGCCGGAATGTGTGCGAGACGTTATACAGAAATATATAATTATTAAGAATAAGTATTAAGATAAACACCGCGTTTAATGGCGAATTCATATCAGATGATAAACGCGCGAATAAAAGTATTAATACGAAAAATTATGAATTCTTCCGTTCATCTAATTTAGAAGAGTGATACGAGTTGCGCGTCATAGAGCCTATTCTGACATCGCTGGAAGAATTTTAGGAGCGCGATAGCGGATGGATGCTGTCACGTATCCGTGAATGTGAACAAGTTCAATCCGTTATACGCAGGATGCCACATCGAACTCCCACGAGAAATTAAAATGAAGAGAGCGACAATCAACGTGCAATCTCTAGGCAACGCATGTTTCGCATGGATGATGGTAGCCGCTCTACACCTGGCTAAAAAGAATACGGAGCGAGAGTCATTAAATCCACATTATTCTACAGTGCTAAATCTCACAGGCATCCAGTTTCCAATGACGTTGAGTCAAATTAAAAGATTTGAAAGTCTCAACGACATCTCCATCAATGTTTACATCATCGAGAAGCAAAAAGAAATTCTTCCATTACTCATCGAGTATTCACCATTGGCTCACCGATCGAAAGAGGGGCAAACACGTCAATCTCTTGTGCAGGATCCATGCAACGATAATACAGGGCATGGATAAAGGATCTGTCCCGCCTTGTGAGATCGCAAATTACAGTAACAAAGAATAGAATATATTATATTTCTGTGATAGGTTTGTATACATTTAAAAAAGAAAAAATTTATAAATATTTTCAGCAACATTTTTTAAAAATAATAATAAACATTTGTGTTATTTTTCAGATGCTTGCACTATTTTCATACAAGTACGAAATTGGAGATCCATGCAATAGACTGTGGAAAATTTAACAACTGTGTGATCCGGCTGTCCAGTGAGGACAACGAGTGGTTGAGTTTCAGCAATCACTGCAGGAAGGAACGCGCCCCGTTCATGGTTCGGTCTACGCCAATCTAGAATGTACCCTAGAAAGGATGAAGATAGACATGGAAACATCCAGCTATATATATTAGCAACATCGGGTATTTAGCTTAGCATATTATGTCCATTGCTCTACGACAACTCATTGTGTATTGGTTTCATCGTGGTAACGATTGCGTCGCATGGTTCACCGAAGAACTTAGCAATTTGCGCATTAGTGTAGAGTCTATACTTTCGGCCAATGTACCCATGGCAGATTTTACGCGAGATGATTGGCAATTTAACAGCGCCACGCTGTCATGTGTGAAAAACCGTTCGCGCCGGATGACACGCGGATACGCGATCATTGCTACTTGACTGGGCGATACAGAGGCCCCGTGTCAAAAATTCAAATTGTAACTTGAATTATAAAGATTCATATTGCATTCCCGTAGTTTTTCCTAATTTATCGGGATACGATGCACATTTTATTATCAAAGATATAGTTACCGCGTATAAAGGACGTACAGAATTACTTCCTATAACTAAAGAAAAATACATTTCATTTAGAAAATATGTCGATAGCACCAAAAATGATCAAAAGAAAAAACTTGTGTAAAAATAAATATGTTTTATAGATTTATTTAAGTTTACCAGTTTAGAAAAATTAGCGTCGTATCTCAATAAAGATAAATTGAAAATTACGCGGTCAGAATTTTTTAATCTCAGCGTGGAGGATTTTGATCTTCTCTCACGTAAAGGTATTATATATTTCCATACGAATAGGATGACTGCGTTGAAAAAGTGGAGGATACATGTTTACCTCCGTGCGAATCGTTTTATAGTTCGTTAACGGGCGATACTCCGAGAGTGATTACGCGCATGAACGTGTGGCAGCGATTCTTTATTCGAACCCTCGGTGAATATAACGATTTGTACTTTAAAACAGATGTCTTGTTGTTGGCCGACATTTTTGAGAATTTTCGCAACAGTTGCATCACCATTTATGAACTCGATCCCGCGTATTGTACACTACCGGGTTTTACGTGGAACGCGATGTTGACACTCGCGTCAATTTCGAACTTTTTACATTGATATGGTTTTATTCATCGAACGTGGTATACGTGGCGGTCTGAGTCAATGTTTAAACAGGTACGCGCAGGCCAACAACAAGTAGTCGTACGATCCATCTAAACTATCAACGTACCTGATGCACTTTGACGTTAACAATCTGTATGGTTGAGCAACCATTGCTATACGCTGATTTTCGCTGAATCGACGATTCGCTGATGTAAACAATTTTGACGTTATAATCATCGCGACAGATTCACCAGATTACGTTCTTGAGGTGGACTTGGAGTATTCGCAACATCGCGGCGCATTCCATCTACGTCTTGTCCAACGCGCGAGAAACTACCCGGCAAGCGAGAGGAGAAGCTCTTCGCGATATTGTATGATAAAAAACGTTACGTCATACATTATCGCAATCTGCAGCAATGTACTCGTCACGGTCTCCGCATTACAAAGATTCATCGTATACTGCAATTCGCGCAATCTCCGTGGCTTCGCGAGTACATTCAACTTAATACAAATTTTAGAACTTTAGCAAAGAATGAGTTCGAGAAAAACTTATTTAAATTAATTGTTACATCCAAGCTCCGGAAATGGATTTAAAGAAAAGAGGGAATAGAAAGGATGGAGTGTGGAAGGACGGTCAAACTCTTGTCTCGCACGTATCCGCGAGTCGAACGCACCCTTTTTATGCTCGTTTCAGAATATGGGTCAACGTCCCATAAATACGCTATGACATCTGTTTCCTACGAGCGGTGCGATCGTTGGTCCGAATTTCGAGTCAGGGAATCCCTTTAACTCGGGAATGGACCACGTGCGAAAGGGCAAGGTTTAACGACTATGAGGTTTTATTAAGGTTCTTAAGATTGAAGAACGAGAGAAAGATGAATAATTACTAGCATTATTTATTATTACCAAGCAGAAGATAATAAAAAAAACCACAAGATTATACAATAATAGGCTTATTTATTACAACTAATTTATACATTGTTTTGTAACGGTTCGCTGGTGTCATCTTGTATTAAGGCTCGTTCGCCAAGGCGGCTGTAATAATGTCGATTCTCTTTGTTTTAACAATTTGCTTTATTCGTGAGTCGAAATTAAATTGCTTTCGAAGCGGGCAGTAGGCAATGCTCGTAATCCGAACTTTACTATGTTCTGTTCGATGCGTGCTTGGTACTACGATGAAGAAATTTTCGTCGCCGTTATAAGAATTAGTATTGCAACAACGCGACCGGCGAATCTCGCCGCCAATTCCTGCAGTTCTTTCTCGCACTGATGATTCTCGCGGTACGCGTATTTCGGAACGTTAAGGAGTAGAAAACACCGGAGATACGCGGCACGTCGTTTTGTTCGCACTGAATATTCGTAAGTGATCATCGATCGAGATTAGGCAGTGAACTGACGATTCGCACACGGAGCGTGTGCGCGATCGATAGTTTTCGGAATTTGCGCAAGGGGGGTCGCGTGGGTCATTTGAGACAGACAACAGTTAGACAGACAGTAATTAGAACAGGAGCGATATGCTTGTTTTTAACGGCTCGGTGTCGACGAGCTGTTTGCTTGCTCCGAGAATGTGAAACGTAATTCCGGAACATACATTAATATGGCTACTAATAAAGAAAGTCCATAAATCTACACAACAATCTATTCAATAGCTATAATACATTTTTATGGATATTGATTGGCCAGGGAATCGGGTTTCAGGATGATGTGAACACACAGGTTTTGTTTAGTTTATTTTGTGGATAGAAACGGAAGAAAGAGGAAAAAGATTAAAATAGAATTCCACCAGAACTAAGTATGGATTGGCGGAATTCGGAATAAATACGGGAATATAGGAACTGGAATGTTGGCCGGTGATTACATGTCGGATTTCTTGGGGATTAAAATAATGAGGGCCGATGAAGGTCCCCTCAGGAATAGATGCGGTAGTTCACGGGAATTGACTAATGAGTGACTCAAAAGTATTACTCTCTAGGATGCGGAAATAAGATCTCGGTGGGGGAGGAGGAACTTTCTCTAAGAACTCCACGCTGTAAAGTTCGTCGGGGACGGAATTCCTCTGGGGTAAACTGGGATGGAAATGACCGACAAATCGGATGTTAGCGGAGGAGTGTCAGGAAAAATTCGCTCCGTCGAAGCGTCAGAAAACGAGGGTGACGGAGATCGAGGGGGAGGTGAAGGAGTTTGAGGGGGAAGTGAAGGCGTTTGAGGGGGAGATGAAGGAGTTCGAGGGGGAGGTATCACCTCTAACGGGTCGCGGTTAATAGATAGAGCCGGCGGAGCCGGTGGTGACGAGGGTGGTGGAAGCAATTTCTCCTCGACTGGGCGATTCCGATCTCGAGAACCCCCGAGGTACTTCTAGAACTCTTGGTCCAGGAGTCTCCGCGCTTCCCCGTAGATCCGGCTTCTAAGCCAACTCTTATAGGGACGGTTTAGACGAGGAACTATGAGTTATGAACGTGAGTTAAGTATAGCGGGTATATTCATATATATATGTGTGTGTGCGTGTGCGCGCGCGCGCATATGTGTGTGTGTGTCAAGATGAGACTTACTGGTATTCTGCAGGTGTGGAGAGATTCAATGGCCCGATTTCCTTGGCGATCCAAGGAGGAGGGTTGACTCGAAGATGTGGAGGTTCCGGTCGCGCAGTATGGTTACGTGATTACTCGGTTTTATGGATCGCGACTCAGCACTTTTATTAGCAGCGGACCGGTAGAATAATGTTTAGTGATTGGAATTTGTGTGCGGACCGGCAGAATAACGATTGAAGATTGGAATTCGACTGACTGTTGTTCGTGGAGGGCCTCTTTTTATATTGGCGAATTAGTGGTGTCGAGTGCAGAGCTCGCGTGTGCTATTGGTCTAATCTAGGATTAGGATTAAGGATATCGGTTGTAAAATGGGATACTGGGGTATGTATGTAAGACAACTTCCGTCATCGACTATTTGCGGATGTCCAATAATTTAGAGCTACATGTGTCATCTATTACAGACAACCGCTGTTTCAGTTTATAATTCTTAATCCATTTACTCTTCCTGTTCCTCGGGATAAAGTTCGCCTATTTGGCACTTGGTTCAAATATCTAATCCGTTCCGAGTGGATTATTAATTTAAAATGTAAAAAGGTAAATGTTTTTCGGCTCGTCGCTGTTGTAACCTCCTATGGTAGAAACAAATGGTCTACCGGTGTTACTTGTTAATAATTCTTATGGTGATGACAAAAATTTTAATCGAAAAAAGGAACTGTGGAGTGCGGAAGTAACATAATGAACAACGCGGATTTCGGCAAGATCATAGAGAATGTGTAACCATGTTAATGTGCGACTTGTAATCCGTTGGAATGGGAGGTACGATGTAGAGGTAATGATCGCGAAACCAAAGTTTTTACAGTCGAAGCGTTTTTTCCGAGAACCTGTTCGCGATAGAAACACGGAAACTCGAGGTGAAGTTCGACAAATGTACGTGGGTATGTGCATTCTCGATATATCTAAAACGTGTTTATACGAATTTCACCACAAGTACATATTACCGCTCTTTCATGAAAAATGTAAAATTATATACCTACATGGATAGCCTTATTTATCACATCAAGTGCGATGATATCTACGGTGTTATGAAACGCCATATCAATAGATTCGATACGAGCGATTACACGATCGACAATGCTTATGACATTCCGCTAGTAAATAAAAAAGTTCTCGGTTTAATGAAAGATGAAAACAATGGCGCGATTATGACTGAATTCGTCGGGCTTAGAGCAAAAATGTACGTCTTGCGCGTCGATGGCAAAAAAGATACTAAGAAGCGAAAGAGCGTCAAGAGCAACATTGTAGCGAGATCCATAACGTTTAATGATTATACGCGGTGTCTCAATGACACAATTAAAATGACGCGCAGACAGTCATGCATAAGATCGAAATTGCACGAAGTACGAGGTCTGTTCAAAAAGTATCGCGAATTTTGTGTTTTTTCAAAAATTATTTATTTATTCATGAATATCTATTTTGTCCCCTTCAAAGTAATCCCCATCAGATATTATACACTTGTGCCAACGTTTTTTCCAATCCTCGAAGCACTTCAAAAAATTATTTTTTGTGATCTTGTTCAGCTCCTCCTTCGATGCCGTCTTTATCTCCTCAATCGTAGCGTAGCGTCGTCCTTTCATGGGCCTCTTCAGTTTCGGGAACAAGAAAAAGTCACAGGGGGCCAGATCTGGGGAATACGGTGGCTGCGGCATCATTAGTGTGTTGTTTTTGGTCAAAAATTCGCGCACAAGCAACGATGTGTGAGCAGGGGCGTTATCATGGTGCAAAAGCCAATTTTTGTTCTTCCACAAATCCGGGCGTTTCTGGCGGATTGCTTCGCGCAAATTGCGCATAACTTGCAGGTAATATTCCTTATTGACCGTTCCGATTGGCCAATACTATTTTCTTCACTTCATCAATGTTTTCGTCTGTTGTTGACGTGCTCGGGCGTCCGGCACGCTCTTCGTCGTTCACATCTTCTCGGCCCTCTGAGAACATTTTGTACCACCGATAAACGTTGCTTCGGTCCAAGGTAGCTTCACCATATGCCACAGTCAACATTCGGAATGCGTCCGCGCACTTAATTTTGTTTTTCACACAAAATTTGATACAGATTCTTTGATCCATTTTTTGGAATAGGCAAAAATCGAAGACGAGCCAAAACACGTGCAAGCAAAGCAGCTGTCAAAAATTAACTGAACATTCAAAATGGCCGAACTTGTCGGCATAAGTGAGAGACATGAGTACCAACATAACGCCACAAAAAATCGACAATCGAATATACGTAACCCGCGGAAATTCAAAATTCGCGACTTTTTGAACAGACCTCGTATATCACCATATCCGAAATAAAAATCGCTCTGAATCCATACGACGATAAGCGGTTCATTGTTCCAGATTCTACTGATACGCTGCCACGGGGACATTATAAAATATTATTATAAAAATTCATTTCTTTTTTTTTATTTATGTATTTTTTTTATTAATAAAAACACATTTGTATATGATGTACTATATAATATGTGTTTCGAAATCATTGTTATTTCAAATATATTCACGGGGATGGTGAATAAACAACTCATAATTACCGAGCCGTCTCTGTTCGATCATGCCTGCGGCCGACATTTCGTTCAAAACATGAGTATATCT